TTCAAAACAATTTCTTACAACAACACTGATTCCCCTTCTAAAACATCCTGGCATCTATTGCCCATCATGCCTCTGTACTTAGCATCTGTCTGGTGTCACAAGACGGCAGATACAGCATTTTGCCTCTGCCTTTATAGTTAAGTAGAGTATGATTCATGAATCCACTCTCTTCTTCTCAGCTTGTGTAAATGACCCTCTTGGGTATATATAAGCTTGATAAACCAAAGACATGGATGAAGGGAGAGAGACAGAGGGATGGAGTGAGGAGGAGGTGGGAGGGGCGGGAGGCTCGACGGCTCTTTGAGGAACAGAGTTGTTAGCACTTTGCCCTCGGGGTGAATGAGAAGTAGCTTTGAGGGCTGAGAGACCCAGGGTTGGCTCCCCCACCTAAAGGCGTGTTTACCACCTTGTTGCGCGGCGGCTGTGCTTTTGAAGGATCATTCTTGAACGCGCCTCTAATTAAAGCTGTCATGGCTGGGTGCCTGCAGGGATAATGTTCTATTATTATAGTCATTTGTTTCAATTAAACGCTGGCTGATTTTACAATAGCAGCCGTGAACCTGTGTGAGTGAGCCATCACTCTAAACAAGATGGCTCCAGTCAAGCAGGGAGTGAGGAAAGACAAGTCTCGGGACTCACACGGGCATCGATCAGTGAATATCGAAACAGGGCGGGGCGGGAGTGAGAAAGAATTTGAAACCTAAATTGGACAGATATCGTGTAGCATTGAGAAAACAAAATGCCCCATCGTTTAATTAACTTTTGGTTTTCATTTACAATTTGAAGCTAGTCAACTAAAAGTGAATTGACTCCAGCTCTACACAAAGTACTTAATTAAAAACTGACAGATTTATTTTAGATGGCGCTAACAAGTTAAAACATGACAATTTATTGATCCTATAGCATCCACAGATGGGTTTATTATGAAGCTACAGTAATAAAGCCTGCATAGCAATCAACAAGCTTATTTAAATGATGAAACAGATGCCACTCTGGTATAATCATCAAAAGGACAGAGCAAGGTTAGCTGTTTTACTCGCCTCTGGTGCGCATCTCTCCTCTTTCTCCTTGTAGCTGTGTATAGGACTCTCTTCTCCCCTTCTCTCATCTCTGTGCTGGTGGTCAAATCCCCTTAGCTAAATCAAATGGTGCAGGCAATTGGAGCAGCCGTGAAACCATTTCAAAGGTAAGGTCAGCAGGAGCAGGGGAACAATGGCTTTGTGATATTCCATCTCGCACACAATGTGCTACACATAATTGGAAAGCCTTTGTTATTTGACTCCCATTTGACTATGATGTACAAGATGTGAATACAAACACGACAGGCGTAACGATGGCAGAGGAACACGTTCACACAGAGTTTCCTGGCTTTACATCACAGTTTAGGTCTGCCTGGCTGCTCATCACCAAAAAGTAATACCTAACTGTCCCCTCGCTAACTTTGCTAACTTTGATTTTACTACTTAGGTCGTGTGGCTTTTTTCTCTTATAGTTTCTGTACTTTTTCTCATGTTTTCTCTTTTTAGCTTTACCGCGGCGTATTTCCTTGGTGTTGTACAGAAAACAGCTACATTTCTGAAGGTTAAGCACAGATACAGCAATACCCAGCAGAGAGCAGGAATCCAATACTGTAAAAGTATTAAAAAAACATTCAAAATTTTAGATGAGTTATCAGATTTACTCACTCAAAATGATAACATGATTTTTATGTTGTGTCACAGATTATAAAGCCAGTGCTCTTAATGTCAAGACTCCATGGAAAGTCAGTATGTGTTACATGCTAACTGCAAAGAGCACTGACCAACTAAATCCTGTTACTCACTGTGCACTCCCACCTCTTTCTAGCCTCTTGGATGATACCAATAAGAATTAGCATACAGTACCTATGGCAACCAGCAACCTTTGTCAGATTCTTTCATAATATTTATACAGCCGTCTGCCACTAGCTTTATTTAGCTCTAGCTTGATGGCGCTATGTGATAACTTCTTGGTCTTTCTGTCTCACACAGGTGAAAGCCAAACTAAACGCACTCTGAGACAATTTCAAACAGGATGTTGAAATTACAATTAAATTATCACAGTGGGGGTGTCTTGAGTAATGAGTTCAGGATCTGTTATATCTGGTTTTAGTAACTATAAGAAGATAAGTCAGTCTTTCATACTTTGGAATGGGACAATTTCCTCCTTATATAGAACATCTTGTGTTATTATCTTCACAAAGAGTGGAATAGTTTTGGTGTTTCTGTGCTTCCTGATGACTTGCTGCTTCATTAGCTCGAACGGAACATGCAGCTTTAATGAAAATGGGGTTCATGAAATATGAGAGCAAACATAAATAAATACCCATTAAATAAACAAATAGCAAGTAGAGTCAGTGTTTTGGTGTTTTTTGCATTTTTTTATTTTTTTTGTTTGTTGGTTTGTTCTTATCTATAGTAACGGAAGAAACATTGCAACTAACTTTACTATCCCTAGTAATCAATGCATGCGTGTCTGTAAATCCTGCTTATTTATTTATCTATTGTCTCTACTGTTGTGGGGCTGGCCAAATATTCACGACACTGTGGCGTCTTCCCCCTGTGAACTCCGCTGCTCTGCATGTCTCCTTCTTGTTTACATTAAACATGGTGTGACTCAGATTAAAGGGTGACAATTTTGCCTGGAGGCTGTTGCTATGGAAATGCATCTGCTATAGCTATGATAGGCCATTCATGTTTGATTAATTGGTTTTTCAGTGCTTCTTGGTTTGTGAGGACCCTTAAAGAGCAAGTCCATGGAAAATGGAAAATTAATGGATTTCTGTTTCCTTCGTTTTACTCCATTTTCCTTCCTCCCTCCTTTTTTTGTCTGACTACTTATTTTGCTGGAGCTATTTCCTCATGTTTTAAGAAGTGTAGTGATGGTGTTTTGAATTATGATTGGAAGTTGGAGATTGTCATGGATGGGGGAGGTTTGAGCTTGGTTATTTGAAATGCAAAACGAATGTCTTTGTTCACTGCTGGCTTTTGTGAGCAGCTGCTGAGGCAAACACAGAATCTAATGTCGTGTGAATATTACGAGTTTTCAAAGCAGGCCAGAGCTGCTCACAACATTACTTTGTTGTGCATTTTTATTCTACCAATCTACTGGGACCAATTATGATTAGAGTGCTGAGCCTTCATCTCTGAACCTCTACTCGTGTTTATCAAGACCTCATATGCTCGAGCCCTTTAAATTTGATCTTTTTAGCACTGCACTAATGTGTAATGTATTATTTAACTCATAAATGTTTAAAAGAGCTAACAAATGCTAGTTCATCACTTTCTGATCTGTAAATTCCCAAACATTCCCATTTATGCCAGCATTAAAAGCATCCTTTGGTCTGTGTTCATGTTCTGTTCTGATGAATCTTGAAATAAAGCTTTTGATGTCGTTGCTGTTGATGATCTTATTAGATGGCTGAGAACAGAACTTTATGAGCCTGATTCTCTAACCACTAAAGTATATTTTCCTGGGACATTCCCAGCAGTTTACAACTGTTTTTTCTGCTTGTGCTTATAGAAGTGTTGGCAATACATTTTCTTTTCCTTTTTACAACACAATGACCATAACATCTCAGTTCATTCATACCACTGACTCGGTGATTGCTTGACCAGTTGCTGAGACATCTGGCTTTTCAAATACTAAGAAAAAAAAATTCAGAAGCAGTAAATGAGGAAATCTTAACCTCAATACTACACAGGCTACTGTGTCCAAGGGGCCTGCACTCGGTGCCGGTAGCAGTCAATAGGAACCATAAATTGTACTTTCAGCTGTAATAGAGGGACCTATTGAAATCTGATTTCACTGATAAGCCTGTGTGTTATATGGATGAATGGTTAAACAGTGCAAAATTGCTTTGGGATACAGTTCACTGAGTGGCTTTTACATGCAAAAAGCTTGGATGCAGTTAAAAAAAGGTGCTAACTTGTAAAGTTGATTTTCTCCTTATTAAATTATAACATGCACTCTGTGTTTTGGCCAGCTGAGTAGCAGAACATACTACAGACATATAATCACTAACACACACACTTATTTGGAGTCTCTACCTTTGTGTGTCTGACACAGGTAGTGTGCAGCTGATTTTAGAGCAGTGTTGCTGATTTTGTTTGCTGTGGCTGTAAACAACATTAAACCCCATAAAAATGTGGAGCTCAAAAGATGCTCAACACTCTGTAAGTCTCACAGGCGAACTACAGGGTTTGCTGGCATTCTTTGTAGCTTTATAACTGTGATCAATTTATTGATTTAAAATTTTTAATTATGGCTGGATGGATGGATCAGTGGATGGATGGATTATGGCTGCTTTGAGCTCTCAGTCTTTCTTAAAGTATACATTTTGCTTAATTTCTGCTTTCTCACCAAACATCAGGCTCCCTCCCAGCAATCATGTATTCAAAGTATTTTCTGGTTCTGCTAACTGTCAAAAATGTCAGGAAACAATAACCCAAAAATTTCCAGGCTTCAGATCAGTCAGGGATGTCAAAGACAGTACATTTTAGTTTTTCGTATCGGAGTAGTTAACAGTAGAAGTCGCTAGCATTTAGAGAACAAGCATGCCCTTTGATTTAATCTTGCATTTAGTTGTTTTGATTAGTTTTAGTTTAGATATTTCACTTATTATGCATCTAATTTTCAGTTCAGACCCTCCACAAACCTCAGTGTTGAAGTCAATTTCAGATCAAGTAATCTGGCTAAAAAGCTGCAATTTTGTGAGACAGTGAAGAAAGAAAACCTCTCAGCCTGAGATTATCTGTGAGACCTCTTTTTTCTTCCAAAAGACAACTCCCTCTAGCAATCCCAACATTTTGCGCATAGTTCATTGTATTATATTTATATTTTATCCAACACATACAGTATACACAATTTCTCCAATTAGAACATGTCATCTCCACTTCGAAACATTTGCATATTTGGCTAATTGGCAGTCAGGAGTTTTAAATAGAGAAGATAGTAAAGCTGGTGTTCTTCTCTCACCCCAGATGCAGGAGATGGCTTTGCACCACCACCAACAACAACACCATCACCAGCATCCTGATGGCGCTCATTATGACCCCGCCCGTAACCACACCCTGATAAACAACTCACCTCCGATACTGCCCAACCCCATGAGTGCACTATCCCAGCTAAACCCACAGGTCAGCCGGAGTGCAGTGCCTCATGGTTCCCCCTCACCTCCCGGAAGTAAATCGGCCACACCCTCACCTTCAAGCTCCAATCAGGAAGAGGAGACTGATCCTCATTTGAAGGTACTGGTGTGGCTTCTCTGGCATGTAGTAGTGGCGATAAAGGCTTGGCAGTGCTTGTACCAGGTTGTTAACATGTAATCCGCAGTGTTGTTTAAGAGGAACGCAGGAATAGGCATGCTTGAGCTTGGGTTATTTGGCTGCCTCGAAAACTCGAACATTGCTGGAGTTGGAGCTATGTCTATTTTTTTCCTTTCATGCTTTGAAAAAAGAAACTTTTTGAGATATTTACTTTTAATCTCTTCAAAAAGTTCAAAATCTATGCCCTAATAGCAAAAGGAAATTCTGTTTTCCATGTTACTTTAGTGAATAGCTGTCATTCTAATCTAGGTTTGCTGCTTATTGTTAGACACACAGGAGCTGATATTAAACCCGTTTTAAATTTCTATAATGAATGAAGATGTGAGACATGTTTTAATTGGCGCTTTTTTTCAACAACAACATGATCTGTTGCCAGTCCTCCCCAACTTTGTCACTGCTTTACCATGTTCTCAGTTACAGTCTGGTTCCAAAGCAACCACTCCTTCATTTAAATCACTCATTCATTTAAATAAGAAGAGAAGGATAGTTGTTTACATTCATTTGGTTTATGTAAATCTGTAAAACTGCTTTTATAAATTGCCCACCAACCAATGTCTCTGTGGATTTGCTTCGTTTCTGTCAGGGGAATGTGAATGAGTGTATAATTGAATCTGCCACTTCCACAGTGTTTCAGATTCATCTGTGTATTTAGCTGCCAGCTCACAGTGATACAGTATAACAAGAAGGGGATCCTTTAGTTTAAAAAATATATATTTCCCAGCCTATACATCTCTGCTGTGCTGTGTGAATAAAAATGATTACCATCTCTCCTATCAGTAAGTAATTCCATTTGCTCTCTCCAATTCATTCTGAGACCACATCAAAGCCAGAGCAGATACAGCAGGCGATTTAAAATTCCTTTCACCCCTAGCATGAAAATTCAGAATTTATGACTTGCTGAACAACTGCAAAATAAAGATTTGAAAAGGTTTGATACATTCAAATAACAGATGTTATTTTTGACAAAGTAAGGCAGGGAGAAAAACTGCTGTCAACCAGAGTCTGTGTGTGTAAATTGTTACTGTCGGTGAATCATTGCTGCAATATCCAAACACTGGGTATTGAACACAGAAAAGAAATTAAGGATTTAATGAAGCTTACATGTTTCACCTGGGCACAGCGCTATAAGCATTCATCAGCAATGCAATTATTCATTCCGAGTCGAATTAGTAGACTCACTTTCAGTGTCAATAAGCTGTTTTGTTTTTTTGTTTTGTGCCACTGATGGTCTTCCAGATCACGGGTGAGAAGCGACCGTCTTCGGAGATGATGAAGCCCAAGCCCAAACCCCAAAAAAAGAAGAAGAAGAAGGATCCAAACGAGCCTACAAAGCCTGTGTCGGCCTACGCCTTGTTCTTCAGAGACACTCAGGCAGCCATTAAAGGACAGAATCCCAATGCCACTTTTGGAGACGTATCCAAAATAGTAGCCTCCATGTGGGATGGTCTGGGAGAGGAGCAAAAACAGGTAGGCTTCGTTTAATATTCATGTATATACACTATGAGTTCTGGAAAGAGCTTTTTTTGTTGTTTATCAAACATCTAAAAAAAAATACCTTGCAAAAGTTATAAATTCACTCCATAAAAACTGAAACAGTTTTGACCTTGCGGCAGTTGTGACTACCCGATGGCAAGAGGTTAATATCATTTAAGTAGGAGAAGGAGCTTAAAAATGTAGCTTGCAAATGAAAAGCGTTTAAAGACAAAAGAGAGAAAAAGAAATAAGCTGGGATGCATTACTATCACCTTTTAGGATGATGCCAGCATGGTAAAATTGTGAAAAAAGAAAAAGCATAACAAAGAAAAACAGATGCCTATTTACACATTGAGCAGCTTGCGTCTGCCTACCTAACAATTACAAGTTCAGTATTCACTCACCTTCTAGATCTGCTTTTGGGTTCCAACAATTGTTGATGGACATACTGAGTTTTATTTAGCTGGTGATAATTTTCCTTGGCTTCGCCATTATAATGAGCGACCCGTTTTTTTGAAAGTTGAATAATGCATCAGTAAAAACTTGTAATTCTGATTCTAAAATTAAAGAACTACCTGCCACTCTGAGTGATTGCAGCTTGCATGAGAGTGAAGCAAATAAAAAATTTTATGCTTTTATTTTATAAAGTGAATTTTCTTGCACTCGGACTTGTAAAGATTTTAACCACCAGCAGTGCAGCTATATTTACCTGAACTGAATTGTCAATTTGATTTTATTATAACCCAACCTGTGCATATGAAACTGCATTAACACGTACTGCAGTTTAGAGGTTTCCTGTCCAGCACATTTTCTCTATTTCATTTTCCACATTCCAGTCCAACAGGCAAAGTCAAAGGTTTTTTTTTTGTCTGTGTGTTTGTGGTAACAAATGATGGTGTGAAATGAATGAAAAACGAGACAGTCTGATGATCATGCGCAGACTCATATTTTTAGAATATCCAGTCAGGGCGCAGCCTATTGGGTGTCAAATAAAAGCACCTGTCTCCATGACAAAGTGCAGCCCATTCCCCCCAGCCCCAGCCACCATCTACCAGACCCTATCTAGCATGTGTGTTTTTCTCCCACCAAACCTACTTCATACGCTGGACTTTGGAGGCCGTCTGTCCCTTTTATTTGCAGTTAATTTTTGCCGCCTTCACCAGGGCTCTTCACCATGAATCTTCATTTCGCCGCTGACACCCTTGAATGTGAATTCCTCATTTCCTGTCCTTTTATTTATATCTGTTGCCTGGTGATTTGATCATGCTGGGAATACAAGATTAGCAATTGCCTTGTCCTTGGTTTTGCCTCAAGGACATCTTCTCCTGAAATGTTATTGTTTGTGCTGCTTAACCCCTCGTGTCCCAGTTTCTTATTCACCTTAGATTTTGCACTGCAGATGCAACTCTCTTTCTTTCTGTCTCTGTATGTCTGTCTTCATCTCATGCTTTATGCATTTGTCCTTCACAGCTCTACCTGGGAGCACAGACAAAACTAATAATATGGCAATTCCATCATTAAAATCCAGCCATTTAGCATGCCATTTCACAGTTAATTTTTTGATTTGTTTGTGCATTCATGTGTTTAATCAAACATGTCACCTCGCAAGACACATAATTAACTTGAGGTAATGATGTCATTATGGAATAAAATATAGTAGCCTGTCTGGGCAATAACACAGTGAGTGCTCTAATTATTCTCACTGACTAGCACTGTCATTTATTCCAGGCCAGCAAATGGATAAACTTGATAACCGTGTATTTACAGAGTACAACCAATTCAGCTAGTGCACATTAATCCTCATTAAAGTCATTAAAATTTCTGTCCTGGTCTTTCATAATGAAATAAATTCATGAAAGGACATTATAGCGTACTGCATTCACATCTGCTGGTTGGTAATATAATAGTAAAATGTATTCGTAATGCGCTCGTATCCTAAACATTTTCGGTAACATTTGATCCCCCTTGAAAAAAAAATGAATAAATGTGACATAAATTTGAGCTTGGTAGTCATTTTCGTTATTTGAATAAATAAAAAACACACTGGTCACATACAAAAGTAAGTGAACCCCTACATGTATTGTACCTTCTGAGGAATAAACTAGATTTTATGCCAATGTCCTGTTTTTGGGTTTTCTGTTTTTACAGGATGCCATAATACCAAGAGTTAAAGAGCTCCTTCAAACTGATTTAAATTGGTCTCCAAATTATTTGAAATAAGTAATTTCACTGCAGGGACGGTTGTCTTCAACTAGGGTAGATTACAAACAACTGCCACTTTCTCCAAAAACTGTTTGATGCCAAACACGTCCAAGAACCCTCAAATTTCATTACAGAATCTACGGTCAAAATGCATTTTTGCATCCAAGGAGACCAGAAGAATGCGCGTTTTGAGTCCTGCTGTCCTAAAACAAACATTAAAGCAAAACTAGAGTTAATGAGTGAGCAAAAAGGTAAAGACAAAAATGTGTTCTAGAGAAATGACCAGTTGATATGCTCAGTGGAAGCCAAACACAGTGTTACAGGAGAAGAAAATTATTACAACTGCTACACCTCTAGCTTAGTCTGAGAGCTAGCTTGCTGCCTCAGGGACTGGGCAGCCTGCGGTATTTGCTAATGAAAAAAATAGAATTGTGCATCATATCCAGGAGTGTTTGAAGATAATGGGACGCCTTCTATCCAAAAGTTAAAGGCAAACTATAAGTAATGACTTAAAAAGTAGAAATGAAAGGTTTTGGTATGACCTGGTCAAACCGTAGATCTGAAACCTGCTGTGTGCTGTTGTTACATTTACAGCATCTGTAGAGATTTTATTAAAGAGAGTCAAATGTTTGCTTGTACAAAGTGTCAAAAGGCCTAAAAAATCCAAGACATGTACTTACTTAATTGTTGGCTGTCATGTCCTGGCTGTCTCTCTCGGACCCACGAGGTGTGCTCTCTCATGTCACAGTCAGACCCTCTGGAGCCATGCAGGACCTCCAGAATGTAAACACAACCCTTCCCCTACACACAGCTTTGTTTTAACTAGATCACAGCCCCTGTTTCCAATTACCTATAGCGCTCGTCAAACACACAGTGCAGCAAAATTCACATAAGTGCACTGAAGGCAGCGTTTTTTATTGCTGTAGTTTATTGAAGAAACGATCAAAAGTTTCATTGTTGTGATTTATGTTCCTTCTGTGATTCTTTTTGTTACGCTTCAGTGTGCATTTTTCCCACTTTGCTTGTGTTGTTGTGTATTCTCCAGTGCCGCCCTTAGGTTTGGCAGAACAAAGTCTTGTTTTTTGTTTTTAAATTCATGTTTATGTTCATATTTTCTTTTTTTATTAAGCTGTTTTCATAGTTTGCACACTATACAGCGCTTTTTAATTCCCAAAGGCCTTTGCTTTATAGTGCAAGATCAATGCATTATTTGGGCTGTGCTATCCCTCAAGGTGACTACATGTTAAAGCTGCCCTAGAAACACAAAAGAACACTTTTCTTGTTTTTGTTATTTAAGATTAAGATCAATTTTCAGTTTTTACTGCAATGGGGGGGAACAGTGATAATGGATTTGGGGAGGAGGGAGGAGAAACCTTAGTATTATTTAATTGAGTCTGTAGATTTGTACCAGGGAGAAAGGGAGGAAAGAAAAGAACACTGTGAGTTTGAAAAGATGGCATGTTTAGATAATAAACTCCTTCTCTGTGTTAAGTTTAAAAATCTGTCATGCAATATTCAACTATTTTAGTCCATTTTCTGCATCTTTGTCTAGTATTCAAACACTGTTGTGCTTTTTTTTCTTTGGTTTTAATGTGCCTCTTCCTATTTCTCCTCCATTTTGCTTCCCGTTTGCTTCCTCTCCTCCTACTTCTCCTCTTACCAATCGTCGGGTCTTTCAGTCGTAGAGTAATCACTCTCTTCAGTGTCAGCAGGGTGCAGAGTTATTGTCTCCTGTAATTAACTGGTTATCAAACAAGAACATTTCATTAAGGTACAATTAGGGGCTAATTCAGCCGGGACACCTCTGTGTCAGGATTACGATAGAGGCATATGCTCTCTCCTTGCAGCTTTGTTATTTTTTATTCATACTGACCTGCAGCCTTTGACGGCTTCAATTGCTAATGAATCCGCCCACTTTGGAATAATTAGACATCCTTAGGCATGGTAATTTATTTAAAAGTATCCGTCGTTGCGCAAATCATTAGCTGTGTTAAATTAATTTGAAATTAAAGCTGCTGGGAGTAGTTTGGGTTATTAAAGAAGCAACCGTGGGTCTGTCAGTCTATAAGAGGTGATGGGTAAGCCCATTTTTATTTTATTTTTTATTTTTTCAATGAATTTCCTCATGGGCATCATTATTAATTTGATTGACTTTTTTTGCTTGTTTTTATTTTTAAAGTCTGGATGAGTGCTTAATTCATCCATTCTTGTTCCAAAGTGTCTATCACAGAAGGAAAACAATTATGATATTGTAAATAAGGATGAATGAGTGGATAAACATCAGCTGTTTGAGCATGAGATTGTATCCGCCGTCATCCCGGTTTGTTTGCTGTTCTTTGTGTATGTCTGTTTGTTTATCGACTGTACGTGTTAGCGGCTGCCAGCCTATGCGCATTTGGCAAGGCATGAATGCTTAATGGTTATCGTACCCCACCTCTTTGAAGGAAATGACCCCGTCCACAGAGCCACAGACAGTCTCCTCGCTGAGGATCAGTAATTACCCGATGCATTTACTCACGCACAAACGTACATTCTCCTTTATATGAAAACGTTCCCGAGATGAGCTGAGATCTGAGTCTTCCTTATCGATTTAAGGATGGACTTTTTGCAACTTGCTTTTCCTGCATCACAAAGGCACTGGCAGCCATAAAGAGCCTGTGAGTGACATGTGATGACATTAATTCGAATTCCCTGTCTTAACGCATCATTTGAGGTTCATTCAGAAGGCTTGAGATTGCTTCTTTGCTAATGCTGTTTTGAATTCTTTTATTTATTTTTTTTCCCCCTCGTCTGAATGATTTGCTGGGACATCAGCTCTGATTAAGAGATGAGCAACAGCCTTAATAGAGGAAGAGACAGAAAAGCAGTACACAAAATGACAAACAGCATCTCGCTCCTCATTTAACTCAGCAGAATTTCAAACTATTTTCACGCTATTGTGCACAAGCTTTATGCACATTTCATTCTGGATATTCTGAAGAAAAAGAACTACTTTCAGATACGCAAACATCATGCAGATGGTCAAATCTCCCTGACCTGATAACTGGGAAGTGAATGCATTTGATATGCTTTTCATCAAGGAGTACACCGCCGGGTCACGCAATCACACCATGACTCCCAAAATCTCATTCACATCAGTCAGTGTGGACCACAGGGTCATTTTAGCCTTTCACATCACCTTGTAATCAATCGTTGTTGTTGTTGTGTTTGTTCCTGCAGAGCTACAAGAGGAAAACAGAGGCTGCTAAGAAGGAGTACCTGAAAGCCCTGGCCGCCTACAGAGCCAGTCTGGTTTCCAAGGTAACAGCAGGGGTCACGTCTTTGATATACATGGGTCAGCGGCGATATAAGGGATGATAAATTAGACAGAATTCCTTTCACTTTTGTTCCATGGAAAGGGTCCACAAGCTGCACTGAGCTATGTTCGTGCATATATATGTGTGTGTATGTGTAAGAGAGAGAAGGAGCCTGTGTGTGTGCTCACAGGAGAACAGTGAAAATTAGGCCTCAAACACACCCGATTTGGAAGCTGGGGAGAAATGGAAAGTAATAGTACATGCGTGTGTGTTTGCGTGCGTGTGTACACTCATCGCTGTGCATGTGCAAAAGTAGAAGTGGACATTACCTGTCGTTTGCTATCCTCTTGGTGTTTCTGTCCTCCCTGATGCGCCACTAATGTGTTGCCTGAGGTTTGCGCACACCTACCGCTCTCTCTTTGATGCAGGTTACTACAGTTTAGCTCAGCACATTAACATATTTCTATCAATGCTTGTGTCAAAAACAAAACAATTCCCAATTATTTTCTTAAAAAAGCTGCTAGACTACTCCTCATTGGTTTGTCTGTACTACAGTCGTGATGGTACAGGGATATCAGTCTTTAGGTGTTCAGCATTTCATTTCTCCCTTTCTGCATTGTGTTTTTTTTAAATACAACTCTAAATTGCATTAGCATATACCGAGCCCCTCCTCTTTTCCCTCCCTCCTCCTGTCTCCACTAAGCACAGCGCCTCACTTCCTCTCGTGCTCATGGGCCGAAAACAAGCACCTTGATTAAGGCATGAATAGTTAATTCATCAGCCTCTTCACTGTGGCATACTTTCAGCTAAAAAGACTATTCTCATCTCTTGTCTTTGCTGCAATTAGACATTCATGTCATTGCTCCTATACAGGGGCTTGATTGATACTATATGCTGGTAGATTGCCAGTCAAAAATCTGACTGACTAAAATAAGCCTGCAGACCCTCCTTCACTCATTCAGGATCAGCCAATCTGAATGCAGAGCTGAATCTCATGATTCACCACGACTCTCTTTTTTTTAATTACCAATGAAGGGGTCTTTTCAGAGTGAATCGGGGTGGGTGGAATTGGAGGTAATTGGAGCTTCATTTGAAAGATTCACTTCTTAAGCGTGCACCTGTTGCCTTTTTGTTTTGTGACTCATGTTAGTTTGTTTGTGAGGAGAAAAGACAAACTAAAGTTTCATAGCTACCCACTATATGCCATGTCATTTCTCTCATGTTTGTTTCAACCCAAAAAACTCCACACTGAAAATTTAAAAAGTTTACATTTTAAAAAGGTGCACTTTATATTAAATATCGTATTCGTTTCAGTATTTGCAAACCATCTTTCAACTTAAATATTGTTTATTGTAAATCCTTCTGCTGCAATACACAACTTTAAATGTCTGCAAGTCTCAAGTTGACACAGATCAAATCTATTATCTCACTCTTTTCCTCTCCCCTCACTTCATTTTTTTTAGCATTTCATTTTCCACTTGACCCTGCGAATGCGGCTGTCTCTCTTCTTTATCCATCCATTCATTCCCGTTCCATTGATTATTTCAGGGATTCAGTTGGATGGATGGAAGCCATAAAAAAGTAGCAAACCACCACATATAACTCCAACCAGTCCGACAGTTAATGAGAAATACTGGATGCATTTCATAGATAGACATACACTTTCCTCCACGAAAAAAAAGGGAGACAGAACAGTCTGCAGAGCAGATGTGTGTGTACTGCATGTGAGTGCAGTGGAGGTGGGCGGGGCTGGGTGATTTAATACATTAAAAACAGAAAGAATGAAGAATGGGTGGGAACTATAGGTTGAATAAGCAAAGATAGCTTAACATAATAATGAATGCTTTAAAATTTGAGTACTCTGTGTTTTTTAAACGGTACAGCCATGTGAAGAGGACGGTAGACTCTTTACGCATTAGATATACTAAAACAGTTTGTGACTTAGGAGGCTCTAAAAATATTTATACAACCTCAGATGAGCAGCAATACATGACATATGACACCATGTCATTGTTTACTAAGCTAAATTGGAAAAGTGTGAATAACTAAGTATACCCCCATGATTCAGTAGCTTCTAAAACCACCTTTAGCAGAAATAACTTGAATGTTATCATTTTCTGTAAGTATTAATCAGTCTGTCACATTGTTAAGGAAAGAATTCAGCCCATTATTTTTTACAACCTTCATTTTATTGATGTTTTGTGTGGTTTTGTTTATGCACAGATCTCTTACGGTGCTTACAAACATTTCAATCAGGTTGAGGTTGAGGTTGCTGCTTTGCTTGGGATCATTGTCCTGTTGCATGACCCAGTTTTGGCCAAGCTTTAGCTGTCAGGCAGATGGCCTCACATCTGACTCTAGAATAGCTAGCTCACTGACTGCAAGGTGCCCAGGTCCTGTGGCTGCAAAACAAACCAAAATCATCACCCCTACACCACTGTGCTTGACAGTTGGTGTGAGGTGTGTTTCTGATCGGCTGTTTTTGGGTTTTGAAAACCAAACATCTCTGCTTTGGTCTTGTCTGTCCCAAGGACATTGTTCCAGAAGTTGTGGTTTGTTCAGGTGCAACTTTGCAAACCTAAGCATTGCAGCCATGTTCTTATTAGAGAGAAAGTACTTTCTCCTGGAAACCCTTCCATACCAGCCATACTTGTTTAGTCTTGTTCTAATGAAACTGCCATAAACTTGAACATTTAGCACGCTGAAGCCTGTAGACTCTGAGAAGTATCTCTTGCATTGCATGGTTTGACCTTGGGGTATATTTGATGGGATGTCCACTTCTGGGATGACTGGCAGCTGTCATGAATAGTGTGAATAATCTTTCTCACTGTACAGTGCTTTTATACATCTTTTATAGACGTGCTGATGATGATTAATCAAGTATAGCACTTACTGTCTTTATTCCTATGGAAATAGTAGGGGTTTCATTTGCAATATACAGCTTGTGCATTTTGCTTATTACTGGTAAACTCGAGGCTCAGTGTCTTCCCCAGGAATATATACTGGGTTCTATGTTGTACTGCAATAAGCCATAAGAGTTAACACATTGTTACATGGAGTGTAACCATTGTTCTTGATTTTCTCTCTCTTTAAGACATATAATGACCCCGTGGAGACAAAAAGTGCCCAGACAAGTCAGGCTTCTCCACATATGATGCCAGGCAACCCGCCGCTGTACAGTGTGCCACCTCCTCCCCAGCCGACATCGCCATACCTGGGGCCTGGGGCCTTCCCACTTACTGACCTGCAGAGCTATGCAGGACACGCCCCTCGCCACACTCTGTCGCAGACACTCAGCCAATCGCAGATGCTGCCCAGCATTAGTGCCTCTCCCCCTTCCTCCTTCCAGATCAGCCCACCACTTCACCCCCACCAGCAGCTCTCCCTGCACCAGAGCTCACTCCTCAACCAGCCTATCCGCATGCAGCAGGTCCAGTCCCAGTCAATCATCTCTCACCAGATGGGGCTTCAGGCCTCTCTTCACTCCCCACCTCCAGGGCAGCAGGTATAGTGACAAACTAAGACACGTCTGCTGCTAGGAGATTATAATTTAAGATGTGTGCCTAATTTTAATGTACTCCCTATAGGGTTTTTCCCACCTCCAGTCAGAGTACCAGAAGAGCATTGGGGGTTCCCAGTCTCCAGGAGCTCCTGGCCCTGGTCCAGGCCCTGGAGTGGCTCAGACCCATGATTGGGACAATGAATACTGCAATCGGGAGTGTGGCAACCACTGCAGGTCAGTGGGAATTCTTCACATCATATTGTGTTAAATAAATGTGGAACACAGACAAACTAATTACATTATATTGTAAAAAGTAGTTAGTCAAAGTTAAAGAAAGCAGTTAAAGAATGGAATTTGACACCATATTTACCTCATAATTTAGGTTGCATTTGCCCTTAGACCAGAATTCCTGCAGAAATAAGTTATAGTATAGTTATAGCTATGGCAGATGTCTCTTCCACTGCTTTTGCAAAGTAAGTGTTGAAAATTGTCAGCTCTGTTCCATTGAGACGGGGGTGACAGCTGTAGAGGTAATGGTGAGATAATAGAGCTTGTCATGTGTTTGTCAGACAGCAGTAAAAAGAAGAGAAAAAAAACAAGTTCCAAACACAAGTTTTCACTCTTATTATACTAAATGATTTGGCAAACTGCGCAGCCCTGCAGCACTGGAAGATATCGTAAGTCAATAGTGCTGTTCATGCTCAATTACAGTGCAATTTTTATTTCATTAAGAGGGTTTGTTTTGAGAAACAAACTAAGAAAAATTAAATGATCACCACCAGAGAACGATCATGCAATCAAGGAAAAATGCACCTCTGATTTCCCTCTTCCTTTCTATTTTGTAGAGTTGTAGAGTGTGACTCATAATCTAAACTGTGCCTTTGTTTTTGATTTTCCGTTTTTCTGTTTATTTGTTTTTTTCCAGTGGCAACATGATAGGCAGGGACAAGCCACTCTACCTCACCTGAAACTGAAGATGATACTCTGTCGACAAAAACGACACAGAGGAGTCTACTCTCATCCCCTATTCCACTCCCCCACTCCTCCCCCAACCCTCCCATTCTTCTTCTTCTTCTTCTTCTGACGTGCACACTTACATGCAGTGTACACTTGACATACAAACACACACACGCACATGCAAACACACACATGCCGCTTCACACACACAATCACACACGTCACCACCTTTTTTTGTCAGTGTAATTTTTATTTTTCTCAGTTTCTAGAACTTGTGAACAGAGTTTGATGACTACTGTCTGTACCACTTAATGTATTAGCAGTCCTCTTGCTGTTGAAATTTGCCAAGCACTTATAAAGCCTCCCCCCACGCCCTACCCACCCGACCCTCTCCCACCTTCTGAGTTGTGTGTCTCTGCCCCCTCTCTGATACAGGCCGGGCTGCAGAGCACTTCTCTCGTGTGTCACCATAAAGTCCCCTCAGGGACCCCATCCAGCTTTAATTAGAACGAGAAGAAAGAAAAATATTCCTTTCCTTTAATCACTTTATTTTCCATTTGTTTTTTTCCTTTCTTTGTTGTTATTGATGCTGTTTTATTTATTTCTGGCTTGCAAAGCCGTTCCTCTTTTTTTGCCAGTAAGCGATGGGCCCTGTTCTATAGAGAAATATTAACATTTAGTAGGCTCTAGCAGGCCTTGATGTTATCGTAGCTTTGCTTAAGGGCCTGCAAATTAATACAAAAGTCTGGGTGGAGAAGAGAAACAAAACAAAAAGAATCTTTTTTAATATTAAAGACCTGTTGAGGTCTATGAGCTGTCACAGTGTGATTGTAAATATCACTTTTATGGGATCAAATTGGGAATTGGAAGTCCAGATAGATTTGTTTCTTCTTTAATATTACCTGTAAGTCATTGTGTGTGCGTGTGTGCGTGTGCGTGTGTGTGTGTATGTGGGTGGGTTTGTGGGCGCATGCATGCCTGGACGTTAGAATGTACCACATTCATGACGTGTGCGGCTGAGTATGTATGTGCGTACATGCAGGGACACATGTGTGCAGGAGTGTCTCAGCGTTCGGGCGTCGAGTCTTTCTCGTGAATTTTAACAGCCTTGTGCAGCTGGATTTCAGAGGAGTATTTCACACTCTCATTCTTGCATTAAATCTGTGCTCACTGGTGTGTTTTTTTCCAATAAAGTTCAATCTAAAACTGAATACACAATATGTGTCCTGCAGATCATTAAATGGAAAGAGCCAGGTGAGAGATAGAGAGCAAAGAGATAGAAAAAGAGAAAGAAGCGCTGTGAAATAAAATGAGATGTAATGTTGCAGGTGAAAAAAAATTGCCTCAAAATGCCTGCCCCACCCTTCTGTTATGTTGTCTGACCATAATGTCAGTTTTGTGTCCTTCTACAATGAGAAGTGAAGTAATGAAATATGTGAATGGAGCCATCACAGCCACATTACGGTGACTTTTATAACTTTCCAGTTGGTGTTTGGTTGTGTTGATCTCATCTTTTTTTAAACTTTTGTGTGATTAACAGAAATGCATTTTGCTGACAAGACATCTCGTTTTTATCTCTTTAAGTGTAGCATCATTTCAGTTTTAGTTGCTGCAAAACTATAACATTTTAAGTTGTGTACAAAAAAACCCTGCCAATTGTAGTTATTTTATTTGTAAAGCCAGTAATGATAAATATTTTAAATGGTTATCAGCATATTGTTTTCTGCTAGTTGCCCATCAGCCATTTGACAGGTTCTTATTTATAAAATAAAGTAGATCACCTTTGCTTCTTATGATGGAGGTATATTTTTATTCTTATTTTATTGTTTCTTTTCTTTGGTTTGATAAACTTAATGATGATGACCACAACAATGATTATTTCTTTATTTTTTACATTTTGGGTGCTGCTCTTTTCTTTTCTTGCCAGCAGCATCGGTTTGTGTCACAATGCTTCTTTTATTTCAAACCTGCATAATAAAGACTAAAAAGTTTAAAAGTGATCACGCCTGCTCTTTTCCCTGCGGACTTAATGTCTCTCTTTTTGGTTTTTTCCTTCCCTAATTAGATGATCACACCTTTTGTGAAGACGTGGTAATAGTTATTTTAAAAAAATCACAAACACCCCCAACTTTCTGTACTGTACACTGCATTTGCACCAAGGAAGGTCACATATTTGTATCCTAAATTTACATTCAACTCAGGGCTCCAATGGCATCAACTAATTAACCATGGATACAGTGTGCACCAGCCAGCATTGATATTGCCAGTAAACTATTTTAACAAACAAGAGAGCAGATGCGAGAAGACGTTTGCTTGTGAAAGTAGTGCATCGTAGGCGTCTAGTGTGAGATAAAGAGAACAGAGGAATGCAATGTGCATACAAACTCAGGCAACCGTCCAAGTGCTGATTTTACCCCAATTGCACACAAGTCTTCTTAGAGACTTTATGAGAGAGGGGAAGAAAGATTGAAATGGAACTGTCATGATCCCTTCATTCAATGTTTTATTCATGTTATGTCTGCCTGCCGTCTCTTCTTCAGTAGTATTGAATTGGCAAATAGATCATTATTGGACAATTGGAAAACCTGCCACTTTGTGATATGACACACATTATATGAAAATCACAGTCATACATTCTTAATGTAGTGTCAGATAAAAGAGGTTTTGGGTGAAGCCACACAGACTTGCCTCTGTGCCTTTTGTGTGCACGCAGTCTTGTGCTTGTATGAATATCTTCTTATGGAAGCGTGTTTCTTCTTTTTTATGTTTGGGTGTTGCCTCTCTAGCTGTAGGTATATTTGTGCATACAAAAGTGGTGTGGTAACAATAGGCTGTTTCTGCTCTACTGTGAATTCAGTCTGTGCTTGCAATCACTGTCTGAAGTAATACTGTAGTAAATACTTCTAGAAGACCATATCAATTTGACACTTCCATCAGCTCCTTTAATCCCATCCCTCATCCCAAAGTCAAAGTCATGAGGCCAACAGAGAATGAAAGGCAACAATTTATGGTGGAGGATGCCATTGAGAAGAGGTGAGTGCAGCAGTCTTGTTGGTTTCCATTGATTTGAAAAGACCACTGCTGCAACTAAATGGATGATATGAGTAACAGCAGGCAGGATGACAAAGACGGGGTCAGTGTGGTATCCATCTAGTAGACGGAGATGAGAAACTTTTAAAAGTTTATCTGTAATGTGTCGTCCAAAAGGTTAAAACTACCACAAAAGTATCTTTGCATGCAAAAATGCAAAGACAGACAATATGGACAGATGTGTGCAGTGTCCTCAAATATTTTATGATCCAAATAACCCAGTGTTTTTTAGTGCCAGAAACACACCGTACATGCATTAACTTTTGTTTTCTTTATTTATATTACAAAAAAGCCTGGACTGCAAGTTGAGAATAGCCAGTGATGGAAAATTTTCATCACCAACACACTTGTAAATTTCCCCTATTAGGTTTAAAATTCTTCTATATTTGCTCATTACCAGTGTACTTTAAATGAGGGGGAGGGGTGAAGCTGATTCCATGATACTGGCTTCCCTCTGTCCTTTGAGTTTAGCTTGATACAGGTGAGAAGGTCAGTACTATGGTTAAACGAAACGCTTACATGCAACTGAACTCCAAACACACCAACCCTCAGAGACCAGCCACTGCAGCATATAGACAAAATGTTTCAGTTGCAACTTTGGTGCTGCGGTAAGAGAAACAAACAGCAGGAAATGTGGGTGGTTTTAACAAGAAATGAGTTTCGCTTTGTGTTGAGAATCAGTTAAGGTTTCTTTTTTATGCTGACTGTACTGCACAAAATGTGTTGGTTAATCTACAAAACAGAAGATTTCCTGCATAATTCGCGAATAACAATTTAACATGAAATCTTCTAATTATTCTGCTTTTCTTTACAAAAAAAAAGGCTAAAGTGCTTTTTCTAAGTAATCAAACACTAAAAATTTGCCAAAAACACCCCCAAAACAAACGTGTATAGATAGCTCTTTTTGAGTTGGTTCACCTAAGTATCAGCTTCATGCTGTTGCACAAAACACTAAAGCAAACATGGGGCTACAACATATATCAGAAAGGTCAGGCACAAAGCATACTTGCGGTTTCACACCTGTAGACATTTACGTAATCCAGCATATATGCTATGTCAGTTTTAGCAACCCTTCGGTAGGTCTTGTGGTGACCGAATTTTATCCGTTTCCTGTCTTTTTTTTTTTTTGCAATATTACAAACAAATGTTTCAACGGGTTGCATATATCTGTTCAATAATGAGGAGTTCATTTTTTAAAAATCTAAAATTCCCCTCAGACTCATTGTGATACATCAGGTGAGGAAGAGTTTCTCACTATGATTGGATTAACTCAAATTTAAATGTATCAATATCAATTTAGCAACGTTGCCTCACACCTTGTAAGTGGGTTTCATGACATTATATGGCAAAAACTACACAGTTATTACTGTTACTGCATCATAGCCAAGCTAAATATTTGCAGTAATCTGTTGAAAATTTGTTTTATGATGCTGCCACTTGCTAATGAATAAAAATCAACTCCAATAATTAATAAACACCCCATGTCTTTTCCGAAGTAATTAGCCATTTAACATCAATGTGTCTATTATGTCAACTAACTAATGAAACAATGGAAGATTTAGTACCTTGGAAGGCAGATATTTCTGTCTGGTATGTATAACACTAAAACAGATCTAAATAATTATCTTTAATTTTCAAATGTAAGACACTAGACTTTTTGCTTTCTATTTCCAAATGCAACATGGATACTTAAAAGGTATGCTTGTTGATCTGCTCACTGTATCAACAGGGAGCAGATCACTGTTGATACATTTGTCCACTGCTTGTTTCACAATCTAAGAGTGACCAAAATCTTAGTTGTTGCAGGTCTGGTTCACTGTCACAGTGTAATTCATTTCAGACAATGCATATTTCCTACACATTATTCTATTAAACTGCAACGAAAAAGGGATGTACAAAAGCTCATACTGCACTTTCGATTTTTGTGTATATGTGAACATTGTGGTTTAGAGTGTTAAGTCAGTAGTGTCCAGATGACACCCTTTTTGATAGGTAGCACAGTTCCTGTCCCCCAGTCCCACCCACTCATTTGGCTGTGGGACAAGAACCCTCATCTCTGTAAAAAACCCGCAGTTCTCACTGACTAAGAGGTAAAATAATAAAGTTTCACATTTCTTCATCTCAGCATTTCTTAAGTCTTGACTTGAAGTGGAGATGAGTCAGATCATGAACCGCACACATAACTATTTTCTCATCACCACTGCTGTCGTCTGTGAAAGTCAAGTCCCTTTATGCCCTGGATCACCTCAGACTGGAGCCACAGAAAGACGACCAAACATACGCAGTCATTTTAGATGTTTGTTAAACACTGCAGCTGCTCTATTTGAGCAATATCGCCCACACATGCTCCACCTTAGATCCTCTAATAACTGCATGCTGGAGAGAGTGTCAGAAAGAAACGGTTGTGTTATTGTAATAAGGTTCCTGTCCAGATGTTTGGGATTAAAGGCTTGTTATGAAAATACAATATAGTTACTTAGGAAGATAGGTATTCGGGTCTGTCATGCACATGGCATGTAACACTGTTAAAATAAGTCTGATGATGAGATTGGGAAAGGATTCAACTCTATATAGTGCAACATCTTGGCATGTTTTATAATAGACAGTCCTAGCATTTGGTTGGTATAAAAGGAGTTATGTTCTTAAAATCAGCACCATAGCAACCAATCTGTGGAACATGCTTTGCCAATATACAGTAAACATAGCATCACTATACATTAGAGTGATTTACTTATCTTACCATTGCTGTGATACACTCGCAAGAAACACTGCTCATTTCAAACGTGTAATTATCAAATGCAACATATGGGAAAAATAAAGATCCTGCAAAATGGAACAAGGTTGTCCAGCCCACCATATTCAATATACTGCATGTAATATTTTGACAGGGTTTACCACTGATTTTATTGGCTGAGCATTGGCTAATATAATGTATTGTGTTTCGTATTGTCGTTACTCTGAAGCTGCCATCAAACGATGAAGGTCAGACAGATGTGTTACATTACACCCACAGTTATATGAATAATTTCTTTAGTTTGTTCTGTTGACCCATTTAATCGGATAAATCTGACTGAATTCAAGATGAAATGGCTACATGGTTAGTATGCAATGACTAGTATTTCTGGTAATCTACTGAGGAGTATGAAGTAAGCTAGTTAAAAATATAGACATAAATACTTTTATATTATCTAAAGTCTAAATGTGTAATTTGACTATGAAAAATAACAAGAACATAATATTGTTGTTCAGGGAATATCAGCAACCACTATGACATTCTCATACTGAAATTTGATGTTCAAACCAATTAAATCGTAGTTAGTATGATTAAACATACTATGTCTTTTCCCAAGCTGTTCTGCAGGCTGCAGACATGCTTCTTCATTAAACGTTTATGTGATTTCTTTTATTACACTTTTGAATAAATTTAATGATAGGATATTTCTTTTGGCCACTCTTTTTCCCCACTTCACTGATAACAACAGACTTCAAACACAATGCGACTGCAGAAAAATAACTTTTTACAGCTTGCTTCTTTGTGCAGAGAAAATTGAGCATTTATTCAATGCTTTTATCACGAAGTATATGTATAATTTTACCAAGTAACTATCAGTGCAGATGAGGGCTGTGTGCAATTCGTGGCTCATAATGGCAAATATTTCCCAGAATCTCTTTTTTAAAAATTATGGGGAATTTTTTTTCCTTTTTAATTTTTGTCCATTTTTTCATCAGCATGCCTAAGACATCAGCTCAGATCTCTCTGATCTTTTAGAAATCTGAGCTTCTTTTGCAACGATAGCCACAGTTAAATGCTAGATGATGCACTATTATGCTGGAAGATGTCTTTACTGCCTTTTTTCTTTGCAGTACATTCTCCAGTGTAAAGAACATTGACCTTTATAGCTCACT